CGGGAACAGAATTGTCCACAAAAAATTACTATGCAATGATTAACTCTGACAATTTCGCCTGTTGTTTTTCTTAGGAAGAAAGGGAGTAAATTGAGCCAAGAAACATTACAAACGTTTTAAAATCTGTTTTTGTTTTTCAATCAGAAATCATACAAACCCTTTAATCCCGCCATCATAATTTTGCCCCTGTAAAACTCGGAACGCAGAAAATAACTCTATTCGCATTTTTAAGTTTTATTGTTTTCGCCTCATTTCAGAAATTCTTTTTTCTCGAATACTTTCTTAAGATGTGTCCCAAAACAGTTCCTTGTATGCATTTTATCATCGGCATTCAACTTGGAGATGACGTCGTACTGAGAGCCTCTGTTTTTTCAGGATGCCGAAAGACGTTACGCGTGATCAGTTTCTTTCATTTCTTGGAGATCTGTGAGACCGTCGTCCATTTGTCATCCAGTTTGATCGTCCATCAGGTGTGCAGTTTTTACTCGGGACCGAATAAGGTACTGTTTGTCGCTCAGTTGATGTCCCATAACTATCACAAAATCGTACTTTTTTCCGGGTTTCTTTAGGTTTATAGCATGTTTAATATGTAAGTTTCCCTTGTTGACGAATTTGGAGACGACGTCTTTCTGAAAGTCTGTCTAATATAAGCTTCATGCAGGCTGCCCGAGGGCGTTACGCGTCATCAGTTTGTTCCATTATCTATGCACCGTTTCTTGGAATGCATCATCTGCTTTCATCCAGTCATCCAGTTTTAAATTCCATCGAGTGCACAAATCTTGGCTGAAGCCGATGAAGGTACTGTGTTTCCCTCAGTTACTGAGATAAGACAAAATTACAATTGCGTTTTTCCGGGTTTCTTTACCTTTCTAACATGTTTAAGAGACGCGGAGCCATTCAACTCATCAATCAATATCTACTGCAGAGTGTTTACAATCTGTTTTCGATGTTACTGCCTTTACCAATCAAGTTATTTTTTTTTGAAAATCCTGTTGATAAATGTATGTTAACGAGTTTTCTGTAGGATCTAGGTTTAATGATAAATTAAATTAATGGACTTGAAAAAGACTAGCACGCTCACAATCAACAAACACCGCGGAATGCGGGTCAGAAATGCTTTCCACCATTGAAATTACTTTTGTCAGTTTTTGCATTTGCGTTTAAGAGAAGTTTTATTGGAAGCGCTTAAGGATGTTCGCGCGAAAATTCTCCAACATTGATTTCTTTGTGAGACTTTTACCACTTTAAGATGATGACTTAGTTATGTCACAAATGTTAAAAAAGTGTTAACTGGTGAGGTTCTTTAAAGAACAAGTTCG